AATTTACGCAACATTATGAGGAATTATGAAGTCAAATCAGACTTGAAGTCAAACTCAATTGCCTGTGAAGGCAAAATCAAGTTAAATTGGTTGAAGTTTTATAATTTTAATTCTAGTATATTATGATTTTAAACATTAATACTATATACGTTATATTTTTAAACGGGTAACACACTAATTATAACCTCCTGATATTTGATACACGAAATATTTGCTATAATTTGAATAGCAAAGAGTGGCAATAATATGAAATAGATTTGTTTTCTCGTAAGGAAAACAAGTTTCTTATTTCTAGATGTTAATAAAAAATTGATACCTATATTTTTAAGCAAGAACTCTTTTATTATTTAAAGCAAAAAGTTAAGGAAAGTTTTATTCACTAAATTAAAAGCAAATAACTGAAAATAAATATCTCATACCAACATTTAAGCTATTAATATTTTCATAAATGCTAAATGATTTAAAAAAAAAAAAAAAAAAAAAAAAAAAAAAAAAAAAAAAAAAAAAAAAANAAAAAAAAAAAAAAAAAAAAAGCAACTGACAATTTTAAATATACTTTTACATTATTTTACAACTCTGATTGACATACAAATAAAAATTATATCATTAAATAATATCTATATGTCGCATTTAGTAATGCCTATAAAAGAGTGAGTTCCTCTTGACTTCTTATGTATAAATGTAAATGTCATATTTCAATATTTAACAGTACAAAATTTATGAGGTTAATCCCAATTTACTTTATTGAAAATTGTGTTTTTTTATTAGTTGAAATTTTAATATAAAAGTTTATGAAATAATTAAGGTCCTTATTTCTAAATTAAGAAAATGTTTTAAAACTAATTGAATGATGAAAAGCGCTCAAAATGCCTCTTAGTTTCATGCATTAATATTTATAAAATAGTGAGGTTATAGTATTAATAAGTTAATTGTGTGCAAAAAAATCCTTTTATTGTATTTTGATTAAAAGTATTTTGATTAATATTTTAATGAATTCTGAATAATTTTTTTGTTTGTTGAAAATAAGTTTTGATTTAAACGTTGTTTTTCGAAAATATTCCAATCAATAATAAAAAGATATAAGTGCAAAAATTTCTTTACCGATGACAAAGGAGAAAAATTATAAAAATTAACTAAAAAGTGAAATTTTGAAGGTCGCCTCATTTTTCCATTGATGCTATTGATTGTAGCAAGAATAATTTATTTAATAAGATAAAGAAAACTGAGAATTTCCAACTCCTTCTGTAATTTCATTAGATAACTAATTTATTTATTTAAAGAAAAAAAATCTCAAAGACAAGGAGTTGGTGATGATTTGTTTTATTTTTTAGCATTTTTTACAGACTTATGACTAAGCAAAAATATTTCTGTGTAACAAAATCAAGTAAGCACTTAAAAATTAATTATTAATGTTTTAAGTAACGCATACTCATATTATCAATTAAATTCAAAAATAAAAAGACATTAATAGAAAAATTGAATTTTTTTTCTGTAAGCTAAAAAATATTCAATAAGCTATAGAATAAGCAAGTTATAAAAATACTTTTTAATAAAGACCAGGTTTTAATTTTTTTGCATAAAAAAATAAGGTTTGGTTTAAGCCAGCCAATCCTGTTTTAAGTTTATCTATTACTTATATCTAAAACTTGCTTTTGAAGTTTAGTTAAGTAAATTTTTTAAAATTCTTATTTGGGTTGCTCTGTAGCAGGTCATGCTTGTACTTACAATTAATTTTAAAAATATCAAAAATATATCAAATTTGTTTAAGTTCTCACAATTTAGGATTTATTTACTAGCAAGCTTGTTCCCCCCCCCCCCCATTTNCCCCCCCCCCATTTTTTTAATTTTTTTCCAAAGCAGTAACATTTTATCGTAAATTTTCTTTCACCTCCATAAGTAATGAAAAATTTAAAGTATAGATAAAGTGATTTTAGGCAAACCTTAAGTAATTCATGAAGTTTCACGTACCTAAAAGAAATTTTCAGAATATCAAAATGCAAACAAATTAATGAGAGTATAATTTAGATATTTTGATATTAAAGAGAAGAAAAAAAATTTTCTTCAGTAATTGAAACTTTTCTGCTTACTCTAGATTTATTTGCCTGTGCTCAGTTCTTTAAATTTTAATAACTGATTGAAAATGAAACAGAATGTTTTTATATATTTCGTTATAGCATCTGCTCGCTATAGTGTCGTTAGAATTTTAGCTATGATACCTTTTGAAAATAGCGCTTTTATGAATTAAAAGATAATGTTGACTTCAAACTAACTTCCTCAGAAGAAACTAACCTTGTGCATGACCTACGACATTGATTTATCTTTATACAATCGAAAGCTGTGACAACAAAAAGTCTTTTCTCCTCAGTTTCCAAAAATTTGATTCATACTGTTACTGTATTATATATCTCAATTCTCAAATGATGTAATATATTGCTAACATTTCTTGATCAGAGTTACTGCTCTTGCTGGTTATAATTGTTAAAAATATTAAATGGACATTTTTTTTATTCTTCACTTCTTACTCCAGAAGTCATCGATTTAAAAAAATAATTTATTGCGATAGCTGTTAAGAAATTTTGAATTAATCATTTACTGTATCATGGTGCGTAGCGTTTTTAAAGAGTGCTTAAAGGTGCATATCTTCGATTTTCATTTTTTTAAAAACCTTTAAGGTGCTTTTTTAATTGGGTGTTTTTAAAAAGTGCTTAAGTTTCCCTTCTTTGAAAAGATTTTTTTTCTTTACCTTGTCGATTTTCGGCACGTGTTATGTAAAAGCGTGCTTTTCACATTGTTCTATTCAACGTTTTCGCAATTTATTAAACCTCAATCTATTTTGGCTTTCTGTCGTTGCATAGCGTATGAAAGCGCCAATCATTTTACATGAAATACTTGCGAGTCCGCATGTGCGTCTACTGAGCTGGGTTCGATGAGATTATTGCAATCCCATGTGCAACTCGCTGCATGTTGCATATTCTCAAATTCAGGCTTCATCTTACACCCTCTGATATCGAACCGAAAAATCTCTTGATCATTTTATAATGGCTAATATAAAAGAGTTCTTTGTCAGAAACTAGTTATTTTATCATGATCATGTTAAGTCTTTGAGAATTATTTTGTTAATGTATATAGTGCTTAAAATAGTTTCTGCGTGCTTAAAAAGTACTTAAAAGTAATTAAAACTTATTTTATTTTTTAAATAACCTTGCTTAAGAGTATAAATAGAAATTTGCTGCATGTAGATGCATGGGAAATTTTATATTGAGCATTCTTCACTGATGTCAGTAAGTTTTTCGAATGGAACGCGGAATATTTAAAAAATGCAGAGAACGCTTAAAAATTGAAATTTAAGAGACATCATCTTAATCGGAAAATCTCTAATTCGGAAAATTTTTCCCACTCACGAGGGGGGAGGGAGAAAGGTTACATTGTGATGTGATGAATGATTTTAGAATATATATGCGTGATGTGGTATCTTGTTGGCTTTCTTCCAAAAAAACATCTTTCTTCAGATGGTGTCTGCTTAAATCAATATCGTGTCATTCGGAATGCTTGAAATGAGATTCGTCCCCCTCCCCACCTCCCCTATCGAAATAAAATAATGATTTATTAAAATACTGCATATTTTAATACCCTCTAAGCCTTTCATTTAAAAGAATTATTTTAGTTTTGTAAAAAAAAAATTTCGTATTATGTGTTGAGGTGACTTCTTAATCTACTTCATAGACACAAACTGGAGGAAAAGAATTTCGTCACGCGATTTCGCTTGATCCGGCAACGGATGTGTTATATATATATATATATTTTTTTTTTAGTATTTTTTTTTCATATGCTTACAAAATCTCTCTTGTTTCTTACATTATCTGGACTCAATATAATTCTAATTAGTTATGCAACATATCTAAGGGAAAGTATTGTAATCGAATAAAAAAAATCACAAGAATTGTTCAGACTAACTAATATTCATATAATTTTTCAGGTTCTAAGGGACATGTATTTTTCTTTTCGAAAGAAATTGTTTTCCAAAATGCAATTTGTTTCGCCGAATTTACGATTTTATCGCATTTGGCGAGGTAGCGAATGCGTACCTTCCCGGGTCCTGAATATCGGACGAGTTATATGTTGTGATAGAAATAAATCTCTTCAGAATTGTTTTTTTTTTTTTTTTTTTTTTTTTAAAAAAAGGGCGAAATAATAGTAATATAAAATTACCACCAAAGCAGTCTTTTCCTTTATGTATTCGTTTCGTATGTCTTTTGTTACAGAGTTCTTTATAATTATCAAAAATTTAATTGATTATTGTTAGTCAATTCAATAAATTGAGCATCAGTATGTAGCTTTTTATTTTAGTAAATTCAGAGATCTTATGCAACATCAGTATTGCCACGCCATAGGAAAAACAAATAAAAGTTGTAAAATACAGAGAATTTAAAAATCATCAAAATGAACAGGGAAATTTTGAATATTTCCTTATAAACTGGGAATTTTCTTTAAAAAAAAAAAAAAATTAAACTCCTCAAAGCGCAATATATGGGATTATTAAAGATGGTTTTAGCTGTACTATTTTATTTCATTTACTTTTTTTTTTCAGAGTACAGTTGAACTGTTTTTTATTTCTCTTAAGTTTTTTCTGTGATGAAAACTATTACAGTTTTCCTAATATAACTCATACAGGAACACTGTGATTATGTGTTTCCTCTTAATATATTGTGTATAATATTTACAAAGAAAACAGTGAATTTTTTTCCTAAATTTGACTGGCATACCTGAACATAAAACAGTTGTTTTTTATGTTGATAAAAATGTGACGTAAATAACTTCGGGTGCTTTGCTTAAAATTCAATTTGTGAACCTGCTAATCCAAAAAAATCGAGATATTATTTAAGTTTTAAAGAATTTTAAAGTGTTAGACTTTTTATCAATTCCTATTGTTGCTATCCTTAAATATTGTTAATTACACTTCTAAAAATTGGAAACTGATTTCAAAATGTCTTTGATTGCAGCGTGGAACAGATGAACTTCTTTCCCAGAGCAGTGGCCATGTCAGCAATGGTTCTGCAATGAGTCCGGAGACGAATGACAATGAAAATAATAATGACGCTAAAAAAGTTAGTAAACATCAATTGCTTTGATGAGGTTTTTATTGAAGTAAATCTTACTGAATGTACTTTTTTTGCTTTATTTTTCTTAAGGTCAAACTCGAAAAAGCACAGACAGGTAAACCATCTCGAGTTGTGCACATCAGAAATGTATCCACCGATGCTACAGAGACAGATATCATTCATTTAGGAATTGCATTCGGACGAGTTACGAATGTACTTCTTCTTAAAGGGAAAAATCAGGTAAATAAATACCTTTCCTTTTTTTCTGATTTTTAAATGAGCATTACTTTTAATGAGATTTTCGTTTAAAACAGTGTTGAGTCCAATATTGCGAACAATAGTGTTTAAAATGTTGCTTTCTTGTGAATTACCAATTTTGTAAATAAAAATTTTAATCAAAAATCTTTGCACTTAGGTTTTTTTTTATTTTATTAGAGTGTTGAACGAATTTTATTATGTTTGAAATTCGTGAAAACAGGAATCTGGCACTCGGGGTCCGTTTAAATATTATCTAATATCTAACGCAAGAAGGAAGAACTAATATTAGCAATTTTTACATTGACACAAAGTTCCCTTAATCTTTAAGAGAAAAAAAAAAGGAACTCATTATAAATTGCATAAGTAATTAGGAAAAATCATATTTTTCGAAAAGAAAATCATTAAGTGTAGGATGAAATTTTGATTAGCATATTTTTGCTATCTATAAAAGAGAGTAGAGAATTATGCATTGGCTATTATTTTTCCTAAAATGTGATAAAGTTGGAATCATTCTTTAAGCTGTTTACGTCATGCATTTACTCGAGGTACTTGGAATCCTGATATGGCAACGTGAAAAGTTCGAATATTGGAGGAAAACGCGAGTTTTTAAACTGCTCACTTTATTGCTTAAGTGATTTTTTTAGATAAGAAGTTAACTATTTAACATTCATAAAACCGCTAATAATTCAATGAATAGAAATAAGATATGAAATATATTACAAATAAATATTGAATTCTATATTGTAATATAATGGTTTTGTTAAACTCTATAATAAACATTCTTCAATTAAGTTCAAATATTTCAACTAATATTACTAATTGAAGTGTCGATTTAATTTTTATATTATATACTTTCCTTCTCTCGGTGTTCTGCGGCTCTCTGTTAAAATTTATTCTAATATTAACTTTGGTATTGCGTGATAAAATAAAAAAGAATTTCTTCTCTTAATTGTTTATTTGTAATAACTATATTTTTGTTAAAAAGGGAATTTCTTTATCATTTTTTAGATCATCAGTATTGAATAAATTCCAATAAAAATTAGTGCTTAGAATACCAATGCTTACTTAAAAAATGCCAATATTCCGTCAACGTGCGTAATTTTAATCAACTTTGTTGTGCAAGTGGACTTAAATTAAAATGGCTGTGCGCTTCTACCTTCACGTATTCCAATGTTCCTAAAAACAGCAGTTTAAAATCAAAAATTCAGAAATCAGTACTGAAAGTGCCGAGTTTTTCAAAAATATTATCCATCTTAATGAGAATCGGCCGTCACGTTTCCAGACTTTCATTCTATCACTCGCGGTGTTTCATTTGCATTTATTCCCATGGACTTGAACAAGTGCGTTGGCGGATAAAGGCTAAAAGAATTCAGCTAAGTGCTGTTGGTAGTTACATGTATCGAGGATGTTATTATGTGAACTAATGTTTCCACTCATAACCTTGAAAAATTATGAGTCACGGTATATGGCCGTGACTGCCTACTAGATCAGCCAGTTGTGGCTTGCGTAGTTCCTGCCTATGCTTCCAGCGGAAATGTACGCGCCTCTTTTTTTCCCTTATCCACCTTCTGCGCCATCAACAATTGGTTTTATTTTTTCTTTTGGTCTTATAACTCTTGAGTTTTATGCGAATCGCACGTGTTGCGGCGGGGTTCACTGATCCCTTGAAAGAAATTATGTATAGCTTCTTTATCATTATTGTATAATCCTCTTTCAAGGTTGAATACTTTCGGTTTCTCTTTTTAATGTCCCGAAGTTTATTCAGTATAAAATGGAAACCATTCAAGTATGAGTGGTTTTTCTCCCATTGATGCCTTTCTGTTTAATGTTATATTTGACCTGATAAGTGTTTCTCTTGACTTTACTTCTAACTACCAATGCCTAGTCCGTTTTAACAGAAAGCTCAAAACAATTTTTTGTAGATGGACACTATTAAAATAATATTTTAGCGATTTTGATTATAAGGATTTTAAACAGAAAATATTTTCCTCATCAATAATACGGATGGGTGCACATTATACAGGAAGGGAAGTTAGATTTTTCTGTACACCATTGCATTAATTTTTTTTTTTCAAACTTGGAGCACTATTGGTTGTTGATGGGTAGATTTTTTAAATTTCAGACTTTCCCTAAAATGTGTTAAGATTTTAAATTAATATAAAATCCAAACGAAACATATATTAGTGATATACATGTTGATTTCCAGCGAATTTCCTGTGGAATTCATTATTTTGGAGGGGGGTATTCAATCGCTATCCAGGAATTTACAGCTATTTTACATAACTTGCAAAAATTAGCTGAGTCAGAACACGAGCACCGGGCAGTGCGTACTTATCAGCACAGTGTTGCCAGATTGGGCTACAAGTAGCGGATTGGGCTACTTTTAAAAGTCCCCGCTACTGAAAATTGAATTTTCGCTACTTGCTACTTTTTGGGCTACTTATTATTTTTCGAACGCTACAAATCTTAAATATGCGCTACTTTTTTTCCTTACTGAAATATATATATAT